GGACTTCCATAGGGCCGACCGTGGTTCGAGTCCCCAGCCCAGTGGCTTAAAACTCACGCCAAGCGCGTATGTATGTGTGACCAGAGTCCCAAGAGGAGAGTGGAGAAGAGATTGCGGTGTGGCCATCCTCCCTGGGGGGTGATTTCTCGCCTTCTGTCTCTCTGTCTCTCCAGCGAGTACACACGCCCTATAGCAAAAATCTCTATTAAAAAAAAAATGTAAGAGGGGACCAGCTGTTGGCGTAATGGCTATGTTGCTAAACTCCCATGTAGTCGACCGCGGTTCGAGTCCCGGATCCGGTGGCTTAAACTCACTCTGGGCGCATGTGCGTGCGTGCCCAAGATCCCGAGAGGAGAATGGAGGAGAAGGGATTGCAGTGTGGCCATCCCCTTCGGGGGGGGGGGATTTCTCACTTTCTGTCTCTCTGTCTGTCTCTATTTTTCTGCTGAGTGCATGCACCCTATAATTAAAATCTTAAAAAAATAATAATTTAAGGAGCCAGCCGGTGGCGTGGTGGTTAAGGCGCTGGACGCTCCCACGTGGCCAACCATGGTTCAAGTCCCAGACCTGATGGCCCACTTTCTCACTTTCCCTCTCTCTCTCTGTGTGTGTGTGTGTCTCACTCTGGTCAAATTAAAATAAACAAATAAATAAATGTAAAAAGTAAATACATCATTCTTTTAAAAAGTGTTTAAATAAAAGAGGGGTTGACCCCAGATCGAGAAACCTCTGGCCTTGCTCTGCGGAGGCTGCTCACGGGGATACCTTCCACACTCGAAGTCCACCCCTTATTGGGGTCGCTGAGAATCGTCGCTCTGGAGGTGTGTCCTCACACTGTGGCCGCTGACGTAACCCTTGTGATCCAGGGGGTTTGGGGGTCCGCTCTGTTCTTCTTCCTGAGGACAAGTCTGGGGGTAGGGAGGAGGATGGGGGAGAGGGTGGCTCTGCTCGGGGACACTCCAGGGGTGAGATCCACCGATTACAGCTGCTCTCAGCTCTGGTGTTGGGGGGCTCACTCAGACTAGGGGTTCTGTTCGTTGCATCTCACAGTCTCTCTCTCTCTCTCTCTCTTTTTTTTTTTTCGCCAGTGTCTTCAAAAAGATTTTCAGCCAAGGTGAGCCACCAGGTGACCGACCCCTGTCTCTGAGCTGTCAACCCTGCAGGTTGGCGGGAGGTGGGGGTGGGGGACAGCCTGGGGAGAGAGGCTTCTCAAGGTGCCTTTTGCCCTGTAGATTCCTTGACCGCCCCAGTCCTCAGACAGCCCAGTGACACAGGCATCCTCCGCCAGCCCTTCCAGATGAGCCAAGGGTACAAGGTCTCTTCTGGAGATTCATGGGAGACTCCAGTCTCTTTGGGACAGTGGACTGAGAGGACTCCACAGCTCTGAGCCCACGTTTTCATGTTCAGTTTATTGTTAAACCAAGCCATAGCAGATGTTACTTTCTTAATAAAGAAAAAGGGGACCAGTAGATGGTCTAATGGCTATGTCGCTGGACTCCCATGTAGTCTGCCGCGGTTCGCGTCCCGGACCCGGTGGCTTAAACTCTCGCCGGGTGGCGTGTGCATGCGTGCCCAAGATCCCGAGAGGAGAATGGAGGAGAAGGGATTGCGGTGTGGCCATCTCCCTGGGGGGTGATTTCTCGCTTTCTGTCTCTCTGTCTGTCTTTCTGGTGAGCACACGCACCTTATAGAAAAAGCCTCTCAAAAAAACAAAACAACAACAATAAAAAAACACATTTTTTTGTTATTAACAAAGAAAAAAGTAGAGTTTTTTGGGTTTTTTTTAAGAATTATTTTATTTAATTTTTTTACTCGTTGTCATTATTTTTATTTTATTTTTTTTAAGTTGACCAGAGAGCAAGAAGGTAAGTGAGAAGGCAAGCTGCCAGATCCGGGACTTGAACCACAGTCAGCCATATAGGAGTCCAGCCACCTCAATCAAC